GACTTGGTGCTGTTTGTACGTAAGTTTATGATTTAACTCAAAGTATTAAAGTTATACCAAGTTTCCATTTTTACTTAATTCCACTAACGGTGAATTAATATAATCAATTAATACAAAATCCTTGATTATACTAGCAGTATATTTTTATACATATAAATAGAATAGCTGAATTACCCGGCGTTGTCCAGGGAAAAAATGGCCCGGGAGGTATTCAACTATTTTGTATAAAAAAAATGAGGATGAAAAAACTACTAATTTCTTATATTTTGTACCTTTTTTATTTATTAATTTATATATTATCTTTGTACATATTTCTATTAAGGTTATAATACTTCTTTGTGAACAATATTTATATTTTTTTTTTTTGCTCATTTTTTGCTGGACAGATGGCGAAACTGTCATTTCATCATCACTTCGTCGTATTCCTCTAACCCGGTAACTTTCTCAAATTTTTCATGCCCAAAACCTCTCTGTGATATCCTCTTTAATTTAAAAAAAAATCGCAAGACGATCAAATAAGTAGTTTCGAAGCCAAACCGTAACAAAGATTTCCTCTTTTGCTTGATTTCGGTTTTAAATATTATATTATAGATTCAAATACGAGTATTTGAATATTTGTAATAAAATACGTGTTAAAGTATTTTTTAAATATTCTGAATAATTCTTAAAAGTATTTAAAAAAAAAAACCTTAGTAAAACACCTGTACCTAGTTAATAATATACTATTACATATACAATATACTATACATACATAATTGTAATAAGTATTTCTCAATATTATTAAACACATTTCAAAATTAGTAACTCCTTACTCACTATGTCATATTAAAATAGACTTATGGTATTTAAATTTTGTTAAAAATACTTTTAAGAAGTATTCAGAATATTTAAAAAATACTTTAACACGTATTTTATTACAAATATTCAAATACTTGTATTTGAATACTTTATAAGACTGAATAGTTATATAAATGCATGTACCCCCATGAATTTTTTTATTTTTTGAGGGAAGGAAGGTCGGGCGGAATTCGTGCGAATTACATGCTAAATATCTGTATAGTTTGTTCATAGATTTCCCTTGGGGGGAGGGGGGGGGTTAGCCAAACGTACGTCGCAAATTTGCCATGTTATACGGTATTACCATTATTTACCATGTTACGCGTTTGTAAGGCTGAGACAACAAATAATACGGGTGTGGTGTCCTCTTAATAATAATAAATCTAGCTGGCAAATCATTTTTTACGATTAGTGACAATCGATTACGACATAGTCAAGATACTATTGTTGGCGCATAACGATCGTATGAAAATTACGTAGATTAATCATTAATATTATGTGGAGTTCGAATGAAGAACAGCCATTTAAGAAAGTAACATAAACAAAACCTTACTTGCTAAACAATCTCAGAACTACGCATATAATTATGAACATTAAGCACATCCCAGCCAACACGCACAGCATTGCTGGATCCGTATAAGGCTCGGAGTTGGAATTGTTCTTGGCTAAAAATCACATMAAAAATAACAGGTAAGCGTAACAATATACATAATTTAAAAAAAAWATATTTTTTTTTGAAAACAATACGTATTGACGAATGAATGTTTTATTGTTATATTTTATTTATTTTAATTTTGTCGTCTTCAATTGAAGTAAAATGAATGAAAACATTCGAGTAGCGTGCGTTTGAAAGTTTGAACGTATGTAAAAATTAAATTAAATTGAAATATATTATAGCGATATAGAGTACTTTTTATCAACGTTAGACACAGAATTCATTAATCGACATGAATGTATTGTAAATATGTTAAAAACATAATTTGTGTATCAAGCACTTTATTTTTGTATGCACAATTTATATTTTTAAAGTATTGTACATAAATTGTGGTGCTATATTGCAAATATATTACTACTTGAGAAGTGTTCAAACTATATAATGATATGTATATAAAAATATTATGTAGGTAGTGAAAATTGTTATGAAAACGTTTTTATCAAAATATAGTCAGATAAAATGAAAGAATCGAGTTAAGAAAGAGTCGCCTTGTCATCACAAACCATGATTCATGATTATTATTCTATAACTTTTTTGTTTCGACTCTTAACGTAATAACTGTATAATTTTATATACTGACATTAAAACAATATAATTTATACCTACCAATACATTGGACCGTCCCATCCGTTTGAAACACAGGAGTCCTCTCGAACCGGCAAGCGCAAACATCATCTCTGCACTCTGTTTGGAATACGAGGTTCTCACATTGCTCGTTGAAAAAACACGGGTTGTTAATCGCTACGTCTGAAACATTTTTCGAGTGTTGATTTAAAACAAAAATGATATGAACATATTTGAATGTTTTTTAAAATATTTATTTTATACCAGTAAAATTATATGAAAGGCGGCACATCAAAGTTTAGGTAAACCTAATATTACCCTTTCAATCGTGTGAGTAGCAAACAAATGTTACTGTTGTAGTGTTGTGTAAAAGAGATGACGAGAAACTGCCCTACKTGATGCATACAAATATTGTAATCGATCTTTGGTCAACAAGTAATATTTTTCAATGAACAGCATTTTACTCTTCGTTCAACGTACAAAGAAAACAATCAACACAATACAATTAATACGAAAACTGCTTTAAATTTCTTATGAAGTGTGCATATATTTTTACGTTTTAATATCAAATTTAAGAGCACAATTAGAATAAAAGTTTAGAAGAATTGGATAACATTTTGAATTAAATTTTCAGTAAATTATTAGCAACGATTGGTAGTTAATTTTGAAGTATAGATGAAAACTCTGCACAGATTTTTAGTAAAAAATCAAAGTTATCAGATATTAATGATATTACCTATTTGTATGATGATAAATAATTTTTGTCAGGGACCAATTCGTACACTTTATTATTTTGACCTGGAAATCAATTTTGTATTTCCTGATCTGTGTATAGCCGTATAGGTGCACTATTAGTACATTTATTCGGTTTGGTCAAGTGAACAGCGAAAAAAGAAAACGTAGGTATGAATAATACACTTAAAYGACTATTTTGAAAGACAGCTGGYCGATTGAATTTCAAGTAGATAATTCAAAGGATATCCCAACTATCTGTGTTCAAGGCAAACTTTTTTATTTTTATAAGACTGTACAAGAATAGGWWTATWTTTTGAATAATACTTGAATGTACGAGTCAGCGTTCAAATCTTATGCTGAATAATTGCGTGATTATTATAAAATAATTTAATGATTTTTGAATCGTTCATACCAGAAGCATTCAAGCTGAATAATCACAGCAGAAAAACAATATCCTTTTTTACGCGACCACTTAAATACAATTTATAGTGCACCAAACCGTCAGGAAATCGTTAATTATTAATGTACAATTTTTAATAGTGTTGTGACTGTATGTTTACATTTATAATAATTTATGTCAAAGGYTAAAATTTTCAGAACATTATATGAGGTATCACGTGTATATTGTATACGATCGAGTGAATTGTGTAACGAAYCAAACGATTTACATCCTACATTAAACAATCATAGTACGACGGTTAGAAACATAATATTATAATTGCGATAATTCATTATTTGATTTTATTATTTCGTATTTTTTGTCCCACTATGTACACGGTCATTTGCACTTTCTCGACATTTATATGATGATGAAAGTTGCGTGGCCAGTATAGGTTGAGGTGTTCGGAACAATAAATTCTAAAACCTCGCGATCACTTAATATATTAGCTAGACAGTGTTAGGTTGCCATATCACTGAATATTATATCATTATATCTATACGGAAAAAACAAAATAAATAAAATTTGGCGTTTATATCGACTCGGTAGATTTTCGAAAAATATTTACGAAATTCGTGTAGGTATCTACTAAGTATAAGTAGATACGTAGGTCAGGATTTAAATTATTTTACCGAATAATCGATTTTGGACGAATATGTTTTTCATTTTTCAAATTGTTCAATGAAACTATATTATTACGTCACGGGCGACTTTTATTGCTGCAGTTCATAATGTTCTAACCGACTACTACGTCATTATTACATCATTAATAGCGTGAGTCTGAGAGTTTTAAATAGAATTGGTACGAAAACAAAATGCACGTAAATCGATCACAATAGTAATCGGATATTCACCGATTCGAACCAATGCAAATTACGGGTATACCAACACCTATACTGTATCTACATAGGTGACCAAAGGTTGACGTACATTTCGGAATTTTCCCATTTCCCTCGGAATACTAATCATTTGAGTGAAAAGATTTTTTGAAAATCGTTATTCATAGGTCGCCTCGGGTCAAAAGTTCAGATGTGTGATGGCCGCGTGTGTGTGCGTTGTATTATATCGCAGTCAATACAAAATACGGACGCTGGACCGATTTACGTATGCTATACTCGACGACCGCGATGCCACTGAACAATTGTGCCACTGACATAAATTTCACAATATTGGTGTAAGGTTCGTGTTGTTCAAGTCGACGCATCGGCGTAATTGCTCGCGGTGCGCAGTTTTCCCAGTCGGCCAATTCCAAAATGCATTCCGTCTTCGCGCGTATCATAATACGTATAATAATCGTGACGAGCAAACAACGGTCCGTTCAAGATCTTTCCGGTCTTCCGGCGGCGTTAATATAACGATTCCATTCGACTCATTGTCTTCCTGTATGTTTTTCCCTCGAGAAATTTACGGTAACCTGACTTGCTGGTTCGAATTTCTGCATTGTTATACATATAATCATTATTGCGACTACGACATCGCCGTTGTTATTTGCTCGCTGCGTCGGTGGCGATTGATAGTTAAACCAATCGATAATCGCGATGGGCCACCGACGATTATAATATTATAATACATAATATATTGTAGTAAGTACTATATAAATAGCTAGTCATAGTAATAATTTTACGTGTAGGTAATTCTGACACGTCCCGGTGAACACAACGGTTTCTGAAATTGTCACGATCCGCTGATGTTTAATTTTCCTCATCCACCAGCGGCGTATTTACGGGGGATTGATCCCCCCTTGGTCTTTTTTTCTATTATTAAAGAATTTACCTATATTTAACTAGACACTAAATCGTGTTTAGTATTTTGATATGTTACTTTAATTTGTGATATTCAGAGTCATCCCCTCCCTATAAGGATTCTTAAATACGCCACTGTCATCCATTACGGATCTCACGGCATGGAGTGGCGATCGATGGATAAATTATGCGTCGTAACATCCGGTGACGACGACAGCTTAAGCCGGGAACGTGTCGTATAAAAGGCGATTTTTTTTTTATCCCTATACAGTTTGTTTTTTATTTTTCTTAGCTTCTAATCAAAAGTTATAATAATATTTAACAACTGGGTTTTCATAAAAAAAAAATACCTTATACAGTGGTTTTACCGTTAAATTAACGAGTTTTAGTGATTTATAAACACAATATTATGTTTGGAACACTTATTATTATTATGTACCCGCTAAGTCCGTCGTTTAGTTATCAGTAGGTACCTACATAGTTGTGGGTTTTGACATTAAGGTATTTATTCATTATCCGTTATAGTTACGGTACATAAATTGTACGTGGAATTATAATTTATTGCGTCGTATTAAATTACGTTTAGAAATCTGGAATTCAGCACACTCGTAGAGTGAGCTTTCTTAAATTTTTAATGAATAATATGTGTTTATAGTCTTGTATTTATTTTTAATGTTTTTTTCTTTTAGATGATAATAATAAGTATGTTTTTAAATTTAAATTTATATCGTTATATTATCAAGCAGAATATTAACTGAGAATATTTTGTGCTTTAAAATCAAATTTTGAAACATCAATTAATTAAATCAAATAATAATATTAGAATCTGAAGTATTGTGGATTATTATATAGTAGGCCAATATTTTGGGGGTAGACTTGTGCCACTCTACTCGGTACATATACACATTTTTAATGCTAACTGAATTATAAATTATTGCTGAATTAACAACTGGCTGGTTTTAAATTAGATTTTCATAAATCTAAATATTTCTACATACAGTCTGCTTTGGAATACAAAATGAAAAACGTATACCTACTCTTATTGGTAAAAAAAAAAATAACGATAAAAGTAAAACATATATATTATATTCTTCTAAAATTGGTGTGTAGTATTGAGCATTTCAAATATGTAACAATAAATATTTTCAAAACCACATAATATTAKTGCRTATGCTATATTTAAGAGAATCAAACGTGTAAGTCGTGTTTTCAATGTAAAGCAGACAGGCGTKCCGCGGTCATACACAATGTGACGAAAATGTGTGGACTGCAGTGGGCACCTATACCTATTACCTACATTTAGGACAGGCGGTYGGTATACAGAGTATCTGTTAGTCTCGATGATCGATGTGTCATATTACGAAATTGTAATATGATTTATGCGTGCGAGCAGATAGAATAATAAGTATTAACATCGATATTTATCGTAATATTACATTATCGCCATGTATCAACTCGAAAACGACGTGGATACACGTTAGGTTAGGCATCGTAACTTATATTTTTATATAAACCCTGAAAACAACTGAGCGCAATTGGTCGTCTATTGACCCAAAAAAGACAGAGCGCAATTGGTATATTAAAAGGTCATTTTAAGCGCAATTGGTACACTCCCAATGAGATAAGTACCTACGGACTTTTTGATTTTTTCTGAAAGAAAATTGTCGCATCTTAATWCCTAGATAATAAGTACGTAATATAAGTGGTAAGTAATAATATGACTAGTATGATGCATACATTCCACACGTAACCAGACGTGGTTTTGTTTAAGTTAAAATAGTAAACTTAATACATTATTTCACGAAAAACAAAAAAAATGATAATTGTAGGRAAAACCTTGATAAGTGAACGTTAGATYAAGTTAATGAAGTGTATGTTATGTATATGTARAATATAATCGAAYGAACGCATATAGCAATAACCACGCATGGTCAATATCTTTCATAGAATGAAGAATAATAATTATAAACGAGTATATTTTTTCAAAAACAATAAATTTAAAACCATAAAATTGTTTTTCGATCATTCTGAAAAGTTTCAAAAAAGTGAACTTATCTGGACGTTTTTGCTGCGCACGCCGCTCGAAATTTACGAAAACAGCAACTGAAGCAATGGACTAAATAATATTAAGTCTATTTTATGTTGTTACAATATTATATAGAAGCTAATAACCTTGATGTTGATGCTGTAATAATTATAAAAAAAAAAAAAAATATTATATAG